ACTTTATAATTTAGTTTAAAACATATAAAAGTGTTCTTCATACACCAAACACTAACCTTTTTTTTCAATACAATACTCTTCAAAACAGGTTTTAACATTTGCGCAAATTCAATATTGTAAATTAGAAGTATAATTCAGCCCTGTAAATGTAAAGCAGCAGAGTAGGAATTTTACCTAGCAAGATGCAGGAGATGAAAAATCAGTCATCCGTGAGCACAAATTGGACTACTAGAAGATCTCTGTACATAACTCATTTTCCATGCTATGCTAGAGATTATATTCCACGAGGGTTCGTTCTAACAGATCATCCGGCTCTATTCCGTCCATGAACATTTGTTCGCATAACAACTTGGCTTCGACTAATCTACCCACTTTGCAATAACCACGGATCAGAATCGAATATGCAACTACGTCAGGCAGTAAATGTCTATCTAGAGCACATCGGAATGCAAGTGATGCTTCCAACATTAATCCTTGCTTGCAAAGGCCATCGATGAGTATGTTATAACTGATAATATTCGGAGAGATTTTGTTTTCGAGCATCTCTTCGTGAAGCTCAGAGGCAGTCCTCATGTCCTGCGATTTGAAGTGGCCATCAATCAGGCAACCGTATATTACCACATTGGGTTCAAGACCCTTCTCCGACATTTTGGAAAACATCGACAAAGCTTCATTCATTCTACCCTCCTTGCAGAAAGCATCAATCAATATAGTAAAAGTAATTGAATTGGGTCTTAATGAGGGAGAGGTCAACTGTTTAAAAAGGCTAATAGCCTTATCCAATCTTTGCAATAAGCAGTAACCACATATCACCGTGTTGTAGGTTATAATATCGGGTTTTGGCCCTTTCTTAACAAGTTTCCAGAACAGCGTTGACGCCTCTGCTAAATAGAATTCCTTGAAAAGCATATTGAGGAGAACATTATATACAGCAATATCAGCAGCTACTCCATTCCTTTGCATCAACTTAAATATCTGCAATCCAGTAGTTGGTTTTTTATATTTGCAGAATCCATCCATGAGGGTACAGTATGTTATAGCGTCTCCGCAAAAACCCCTCTTCAGCATTTGGAAAAAAATTAACAGAGCATCATCCAATTTTCCTTTCTTAGAAGCTCCTCTGACAAGCAAAGTGTAGGTCACTACATCTGGTTGTATGCTATACATTCCAATTTACAACTATACCTTCACGGCATTCCTTAACTGTTTCAACCTACAATAACCATCCATCAAGGAATTAAAAATGAAGATATTTGGTTTTAGACCCCTGCTTACACGGTTAAAGAAGAACCAGAGAGCAGTTCTAACCATCCCTTCATTGCAAAGGCCATCTAATAACATGTTATAAACCACGACATCCGGTTGATGGACCTTCTCTACCATATCATCAAATAGATGAAAACCATCCTTCAAATTTCCCATCTTGCAAAATCCATCGATGAGGCTACTATATGTTATGAGAGATGGCTCAAAGCCCCTTTTGATAATTTGACCAAAACTGCCACAAGCTTCGAGCATCCTACCATTTCCACACAATCCATTTATGAGAATGCTGTAACTCACCATGTTAGCTGATAAACCTTCCTCCAACATTCTCTTATAAAGCTGAACCACTCTTCCCAAGTTCCCTACCTTCACAAACGCGTCGATAACCAAGCTGAAAACAACTACATCCAACTTGACACCTCGATCTAAAGCATCGGAGAGAAGCTTCTCTCCTTCATCCAATCTCCCTGCCCTGAAATAACCATCAATAAGTATAGAATACAGAATTAAATCTGGTACTACATTCCTCTGTATCATAACATTGTAAAGCTCAAATGCTGTATCCAATTTCCCTTCTTCACAATACATATTAATCAATGTGCTAAAAGTCACCACATTTGGCAACGGTCCAAAAGCTAGTATCATATCAAACAACTTGGTAGCAGTTCCTATTTCCTTATTTACAGCTAGACCCTTCAAAATCTTGTTACAAGTAACAATGTCAATCTCTAAACCTCTCGAAACCATCCTCGAATGAAAAGTCAAGGCCTTCCTGACCTCCCCTTCTTCAAAAACCCTTCCATCACAACAAAAATATCGTCTTCTAAGAAATCTACAAAACTCGCCATAGTTATCAACAATTATATCGTCACAATTCGCATTAAGCAAAGACTCCAACACCCTATAAACCAAATTATTCGAGATGGAAAGACCCCCTTTAGCCATTGTCATGAACACATGAAAAGTCATATCCCCCATCCCTTTCTCACTGTAGTTTTCAAACAAAAACCGAAAAACGACATCTGGGTTCGAGCCAAAATCACTAAAAGCTTCGAGAACATCAATATTTGCACCAGAATGAGTTACCATTTCATCGAACACCTGGACCCCGGCACCAAACATTCCATGGCGTAGCAGGAGGTGAACGAGGGCAGAGTAGGAGGGTAAGGCATGGGGAGAGTTTGAGAAACTTTGGGTCCATTTGAAGAAGTTGAGAGCAGAAGTGGGCTTGGATTTGAGGATCAAAAGCACGGGTTTGATTAAGGCAGTGGGGTGTTCTTGTTGAAGAGAATAATGAGAAATTAATAGGTGTAATAAGGTTCTGGTTGGAAAGGAAGAAAATTGCTTTCTCAGAATCTTTGAAGAAACATTGGATGGGAACTTCCATCTGAGTTTTTTGTTGTTGGAAAAGATATAGTTTTTGTTCCAATTATCACTCAGAGTTTGGTAGTTCGGTTGGTTACTCTGTTTTCGTTTTGAGCTTCATGGCGTTTTGCAGGTACACTCGCTATTTCATGATTAGGTTAATCCCATAATTAAATACTTAACCTTTACTGTGTTTCTTTTTTGTTCATCCAAAAAATGAATGTCCCCAAACTTTTAAAAAAATCTAATATGACCCTCATATTTTTTTTTCTTTCAATGTGACCCTCTAACTTATAAAATAAGTCAAATATGGCCCTTTGACTATTTTCTGTCGTTGACCGTTATGATGCTGACGTGACAGTTCACAGTAGGGGTGTAAAAAACTGACCCGACCTGTAAAACTGACTGAAACCGACTCGAGTTAAAACTGTTTTTGACCTGCGCTGTGACGATCCGAAACCGACTTGAGTTGGAACTGGTGTTGACCTGAACCCGAGTTAGACCTGAAAATTGTGGATCTGAACCCGACCTGCATCCGACCTGAGAACGACCTGAACCCGATTTGAACCGAAAATATGATACCCGAACCCGAACTGCATCCGACTGATATGAACCCGAACCCGAGATTGACCTGGTAAATAACTGATATTACCTGACCTGTTATGAACCTAACCTGTAATTGACTCAACCTGTAAATGACCTGACACGTTGTTAAAGTGATATGATATTATCCTGACTTATAAGTAATAAATTACAATTAATATAATTATGTTATTTTAAATTTATAATAAACTTATGATAATTACATTTAGTTTTTATATTAATTATAATTATTTATATTTTTTATAATTCTTATATTATAATTTGTATATTATAAATTTGATTTTTATATTAATTCAAATTCTTTATATTATTTATAATTCTTATATTATAAATTTTATTTATAATCACTAAATTAAATTTAAATATTATCAATATTATCTTATTGAACATGATTTTATTAAATTATATATATTGAGTTAAAATATTCATAATTCTAATTTACTTTTAATGTGAAAATTGATTAATAATTTAAGTATAACTTAACTTGAAATTTTAAAATGAAAAATATTAGTTGAAATGATGAACTTATTAAAGATTTGAAACTTGAATAACATTACAAATACTAAAACAAAAAAAATTATAAATGAAGTTAATTTTATTACACTTGTAAACACTAAAATTACAATAAAATCAACTAAACAAAACAATTTTACCAAATAAAAATGCAATAGGAAATAAGAATTTGAATTCGTCAACATAACAAATTGTACTCATATATGTACTCACTTGTCGGTAAATATTATGTTCGATCATGTCGACCTTTGGGTAACAACCTATACCGATGTGTTTCGTTCTTGTGACATCGAGAAAGAAGAGATCATTCTAAACTAGGCTATATTCTGAAATAAAAAAATGAGCTGCACCTTACTTGATCAAAGTTTACTGAATAACTTCAAACAGCGATCAAACTCCTTCTGAGGTTGGATCGACGAGGGGTCCCTTTCTCTGGTTGCATCGGTGAGGACTGTGAGCTATTGCAAACCTCGACATTATATGATTTAGGAGCCCAATTCTGACTCTGAGAAGCCAAATATTCAAGTGCGACTAGGATATCGCCGATAAGTGGTCAGAAGTTGGCTTCTTCATTTAGACACATGGCAGTAATTGCAATTGCATAGTTCAAGCAGCGGCGAGGATAACATCCTCGAATTAGAGGATCAACCAGTAGGCCAAACTTCTTCTGGTCTTTTAAATATGGACGGGACAGCAACACAAAAGGCATAAATTACATACCAGAGAGAACATAGCAATTAGCCAAGCAAACCTCATGTCACAACAGGTGACGTGAAACAAAGAACGTAAACACGAGATACATCCACTAGAAACAAAGGGGGCAGTGAAAAGGATCGGAACAAAGTCGAATCGGATCAAATAATAAATAAATAGATCGAAGACTAATTTACCATGACACCAAGTTCTGCTCTCCATCAGAAGAACTATTATTGCTTTTACACAACAATACAAAACAATCCCTTTACATATGAAAATGATCTGATTAAAAACTACATGGAATCAACGAATAAATATTTGCATCCTCAAGTGCTAGGGATATTAAATAGCGAATATGATTGCACAATGCACGGCCATGTAAAGCACACATTTTAAGGTTATTCTACCAGATTTGGATGTTATGCACTCTTGCTTCAAGACGAATACTGAAATTGGTTGAAGGGTAAAATGCCTGTACAAATAATGGAAGCTTTACACATAATGCCCACAAATTAAAGAAAACTTCAGCAACGCAAACATTATTAGTAGACTCAAAACTAAATTTCTCCTCGCATGGCTCCAAAATCAATAGCGAAAATCTAGAATGAGACCTAGAGTTCTGCATTATTAAATTACAGTACACACTAGCAAAAGGCCTCCAAACATAATAAGGGACACTAAGAAAAGTAGCAAGAAACAATGGATGATCTTCCATGTTCAATGGAACTCTGCATTTAGTTTACATTACCAAAAAGATGATCTTCCAAACTGCCTATCGGCATGTATTCATAAACCAAGAGCCTCTGATCCCCGGCAGTGCAATAGACGATCAAAGTGATCAGATTAACATGGTGTAACAAGCTGAGCATAAGAACCTCAACAATGAATTCTTGATAGCCTTGAAGACCATCGTGATTAAGTTGTTTCACCGCTACGATCTGGCCAGTTACAAGAACATAAATGATCCAATTCAAACTTTAAAAGCTACCTAATATGTATAATAGACAACAAATTCTGGAAATATGCCAAACGGATACATGGATTTGAAATGAAAAGCATCAATTTTTACCTGCCCGGTTTCCTCAACCTTTGAAAACCTTTCTGAATCCTCCTTCCCCAACCACATCGGCTTCTCTGAAATTCTTTGTTGCTGTTGCCAACTCTCGGAATGTGAACCTACGTGCTCCACTGCCTTTGGAGCCTTTTCCCTGATCACTTCCATTCTTATGATCTGTTACCAGAATTTCAAAAAAAAAAATACTAATCAAATCCACTGAAATAACACGAAATTTGGTGTTAAAATCCTGGACATTACCTTCTTGGCTTGCTTTCCATCTCTTAACGCAGGAAACTGGTTAGAAAATACGAAGAACAAATGAACCCAGATAAGCAAATTTTATACGGAAAAAAGAATGAGAGATAGGGAAATGGAAAAGAACAATGAGAGATAGGGAAATGGAAAAGAACAATGAGAGATAGGGAAATGGAAAAGAACCTGAGGAATCGACGGAATGGCTAGAAGTAGTTCGACTTCCATTGTCAATGTCGATCCTTGCATCTTTAGAGCGAGGATTGAAGCAAGGGAAACAACTCATCTTCTCTATGCTTACTTCCACAACCAGTGCAGTTGAACAACAAAGATTTGAACTTTGAACACTCACAATATTAACCAAAATCTTCCATCGGTTCTTTCCTTAAATCAAATCCACCTTTCAGCATGTAAAAGAAACGTTTTTTGTAGTTGAAAAAAGGAACCCAAAAGGGGAGAACGAAGAACAATAAAATTTCGGCGCAGCTTAATGCTTTTGGGAATCAAAACGACGAAAAAGCAGCGCAATGAACTGGGAATCTGTGAATGAAAGGGGACCAAAAAGACAGTGCTCAAACATCTCCATTAAAGCAAAGTTCTTTCTCTTAAAGAAAACCTATTTTAGAATTTAGAAATCCAATCAAATCATCATAAAATATGAAGAAACAAAAGCAAACATAAATGATTTTGGCCGGGAAAACGAAAACAAAAATGAAAGAGGGAAAACAAGATAAAAGGGAGAGGTTTTGGATGCTGAGCGGGGAAGAAGAGAGATCAAAAATAAAGCGGGAGGGTTTAGCGGGAAGAGAGGAAGAAAATGACTATTTTGGCACCAATTTTATCCCTATAAAATTTATATTAATAAATCATTTATAATTAATATTAAAATTATTATATATTATAATTAATATTAATATTAACTTATATTAATATAATATAGTTTATAATTTGTAATTAATATTAATATATAATATAGTTTATAAAGTTAATATTAATATAAACTATATGTTATAAATTATATAGTATAGTTTATAAACTATAGTTAATATAATTAATATTAATATAGTATAGTTTATTAATATTATACTGTATTAATATAAATTATAGTTAATATAATTAACATTAATATAAACTATCTAGTACATTAATATAAACTATAGTTTATAAATTATATATTATAGGTTATAAAATATAAACTATATAGTACACTAATATAAACTATTGTTTATAAACTATAGGTTACATATATAGTTTATATAGCATATAAATAGATTGTATATATACATATACTATAGGTTATATATAGTTCATATTTAAAATTTGTTCAATTTGATCATTATATATTTTTCAATTCTTTCAATTAATATATATGTGTATATTAATAAATTAATATATAGTTTATATATACTATTGAACTATATAATATTTAGTTTATATATACTATATAGTTTATACATACTAATGAACTATATAGTATATAGTTTATATATACTAACGAACTATGTATAATGTATAGTTTATATATACCATATAGTCTATAGTTTATATATACTAATAAATTATATAATGTATAGTTTAGGGTTTAGGGTTTATATTTATGGTTTAGTATTTTTATATATAGTTCATATGTAAATTATACCATATAATATATATAGTTTTTATATCTATAATATATAGTATATAAATCTAAACTATAGTATGTAGTATATAAATATAAACTATAGTTTATATATATAGTATATACTATATAAATAATGTATATAGTTCATATGTAAACTATAGTTCATATGTAAATATCAACCTTAGTATATAAATTATAGTTCATATATAAATATCAACCTTAGTATATATATTTATATATATAGTTCATATGTAAACTACAGTTCATATAAATAGTATAAAATATAGTATATAAATATAAACTATAGTTTATATAAATAGTATAAAATATAGTATATAAATATAAATTATAGTATGTAGTTTATATAAATATAAATATAACCCTAAACCATATATACTATATATATAAAAACTATATAATTTATATTAATAAACTATATAATTTATACAATATATATTATTTATAATTATACATAATATATAAATATAAATTGTATAGTTTATACATAATTCATATATAATTTATATATAAATTATGTAGTTTCTATATAGTTCAATAGTTCATATATAAACTATATAGTATTATAGTTTACACATGGTATATATAGTTTATACATAATATATATATAAACTATATAGTTTATATATATATAATACACATACTTTATATATAAACTATATAGTTTATATTATATATATATATATATATATATTAGTTGTTTTAATTTTTTTCTCAACTTATTACTTATTTCTATTTATTAATTGGCCCATAACTTTTTAAATGAGTATAATTTAGTACATTTTTATATTAATTTCAACCTCAAAATTTAAAATTATTTCGATTTGATCCCTTTTGTGTTGTTTAATATATTTTAATTTTTATTTGTAATTTCATATTTATTCAATTTAGTCCTTCAAATTTTATTTGCATCTGAAATTGACCCATACTTATTACTTATTTCTATTTTTAAATTGGTCCATAACTTTTTAAATGGGTATAATTTAGTACTTTTTTGTATTAATTTCAACATCACAATTTAAAATTATTTCGATTTGATCCCTCATCAATGTGTGTTGTATAATTTATTTAAAATTTTATTTGTAATTTCATATTTGTTCAATTTAGTCCTCCAAATTTTATTTGCATATGAAATTGATCCATACTTATTACTTAATCCTATTTTTTAATTGGCCCATAATTTTTTAAATGGGTATAATTTAGTACTTTTTTGTATTAATTTCAACCTGACAATTTAAAATTATTTCGATTTGATCCCTCATCAATGTGTGTTGTATAATTTATTTAAATTTTTATTTGTAATTTCATATTTGTTCAATTTAGTCCTCCAAATTTTATTTGCATATGAAATTGATCCATACTTATTACTTAATCCTATTTTTTAATTGGCCCATAACTTTTTAAATGGGTATAATTTAGTACTTTTTTGTATTAATTTCAACCTCACAATTTAAAATTATTTCGATTTGATCCCTCATCAATGTGTGTTGTTTAATTTATTTAAATTTTTTATTTGTAATTTCATATTTGTTCAATTTAATTCTCAAATTTATATTTTTCATAAAATTGAACCATGATTATTTATATTCTTAGTAATTTACTCTAAATCATATACAATTACAAATTGCAATTCAACGTTCGTGAAAGAAGAAAATAATTAATCCAAAAATAAAAATTAACTCGATTTGAACTCAATCCGTATCTGATAGAGATCCGACCTGAATTTTATCTGCCAATGATGCGACCCGATCTGAACGAGATCCGCCTGAAGTCTATCCGAACCTGAATTAACCTGTTTTTTAACTGCTTCGGACCTGAATTGTTTTGACCTGAACTGGCAACGATCCGAACTGAAAATGACCTGACCTGAACCCGATCTGGATCTGGTGTCAAATCAACCTGAAAATAACCCGAACTGATTTGACCTGACCTGAACCCGATCTGGATCTGGTGTTAAATTTACCTGACTTGACATGTATCCGATTTTACCCGACCTGCCAGGATCCGACTGAAACCTGAACGATTACCCGATTTTACAACCCTAGTTCACAGTGTTAACGTGGATATACACAATGATTGATAATATGGCAGATAACATGGCAGTTGAGCTAAATTGATAACTCAAACGTGACAGATGGGTTGTCATGTCAGCACGGTGGACCGCCATATCAGCACTGTGAATTGACACATCAGCACCGTGACTGTCAAACGATTACATTAAATTTATTTTTTTAGTTAGAGGGTCACATTAAGAGAAAAAAATAATATCATATTATTTTTTCCGAAAATATAAATTCCTCTTATGCTTTTTTGCCCAAAAAGAATTTGATCATTAAACTTTTAAATTTTATACATTTAAATAATACCATATTATTTTTAGTTTCTTTCATTTGCTTTGGTACACATTCTTTTTCATCATCCATCAATCATCTTTGATTGTCATTTTTAACCTAAGTGATACTGTTTTAATTGGTTTAGTCTATAATCTTTATCATCTAATTATCGTAAAATTATTTAAAATGTACATACAAATTTTAATTTTATATCATGTTGAGGCTTAATATAAAACTAATGTCCAAACTATACTTGAAATTAACTTTTGACATTTAAAGAATTTTTCGTTAAAAAAATAGAGAAAATAATCTCAGTGACCGAAAATATCTTATAAAATACGATTTTAACCGACTTTTTTTGGATTTGCCAAAATGACCAACAAAATCGCAACGCGAACTCTAATTTTTCAACTTAGTTTCCAAATTCGCAACGCGATATCCAGATTCGCAACGCGAATATCCAGATTCTCAACGCGATTTTGAAAAATGTGTTGCGATAGTTAAAATGTGTTGCGAGAGTTTGAAAAACGTGTTGTTGCGATAGTGAAAAATCCAAAATAAGTTTACATTTTAACTATTTCAAATTCACGTGGAGTTTGAAACAATAAAGAATGTGTTGCGATAGTGTAAAAGATTCCCAAGCCATTTGTAAGATCTTAGTTTGAAACAATAAAGAATGTGTTGCGATAATGTAAAAGATTCCCAAGTGTTTACAATGCTCAATCCCACATAGTATTGGAAACACTATTGAAAATGGGTATTTAAGGCTTGGATTTCCCACTTCCTTGTTGAGTGGAAGAGAACAATGGGGACTCTCGTGCACCGCCGTTCCGTCTCGGGTCGTGGTCGTGGTCGTGGTAATACCTTTTTACTAGGCAAATCGGAAAAAAAATTGATCAAAATCGTATATTATAAGGCATCATAAAACATGTTAATTAACGTATTTTAATAATAGACACCTAAAAGTATAACATAAAAAATATTATTCACCTATTTATAGAAAAATTCTTTAACTACCAAATGTTAATTTCGAGTAAAAAATGGATGTAGGTTATTGCCGGTGTCTATGTTAAGGGAAATATTATTATTAATAAATACAGTAAAAAAACATTATTATTTGTTTTATTACATAAAATTTGAGTTTTTTTAAAATCATACAAAAAGTTTTGTTACTTTTTATGAGTAAATTACGTCATTCATCCCTCAATTATACTCTCACTCATATTTTGGTACTAAAAATTAAAATCTTCAATTCAACTACTCAACTTTCAAATTGATTATACTTTAATCACTCTAATTTATTTTATTAAATTTTTTTTGATATGATATTTTTTATTATATTTTATTAATATATAATTAAAAATAAGAAAAATAAACTTGAAAGTTATAATGATTAAATTAAGAGTAATTTGAAAGTTAAGTAATTAAATTAAAAAAATTAAATTTTAGTAATCAAAATAGGAGTAAAAATATTTGAGTGATGAATGATATAATTTATCATAAAAAAGATACAAATCACCCGTTAAAAGCTTAACAGTGAGGTACTAAAGGAAAATAAAAACTAAACGTTAAATATAATTTTTAAAAAAAATTAAAAGTTTGGGTATCTAAATATAATAAAACTGATAGTTTATGTACTAAACGTGTAGTTTATCCAAAATGCTGTTAGGCTTGAAAAGTTGTAGCAATGGCAAGTGAATTCCTCATAAATTTTCCCTTCTCTTTCTCTCTTTTTGCAACTATACAAGCTGAAGTTCAATACTTCTCAGAACAAGAGAAGACAAAGAATGATGCAACAAAGAAGAAACATGGATACTCTACTAAGAGATTTGTCAACCTTAATCTCTTGCCTTCTCATCCTAAGATTATTGTTCCTTGAAAAATGGTAAGAAGCCTGGTTTGGATAAGCAAACATACTTCTGTTTGAGCTCCCAAACATTCTAGCACTCACCATTTCTCCCAACATTCCCATCGTCGGATGGAACGAATTCGTCGTCGATATACCACCGAGGTCGGACGATGCCAAGGTCGCATATCCTCCTCCGTAAGGGTGAGGGAAGTATTGCTGGTGATTTAGATGCAAAGAAGTGGGCGTGATGTTCGATGTCAAACGAGGTGGTCTTTGAGGAATGACCATATCTGAGTGGGGATTCTTGGAATGCGACTGCGAAGATGCGCCGTGACCGTAGAGGGGAACCAGTGAACCGGAAGAGATGCTCGCCTTGCACACGGGACAGCTCTTCTGTTGCGGACCTGAATCGAGGGAAGAAGTTCGGAGTTGAAGCCACTTGTAAATGCATGGCCAGCAGTACAAGTGACCACAGAGGGTGACTACAGGGTCTTTCGCAGACTCGAAGCAAATGCTGCAATCGAAGCAGCCCGAATCTTTTTCGAGTTCTCTTGTTGGGTCTGGTATCGAATTCCATTTGTGCTTGAGTGAAATATCTCCATCAGACTCAAAGTGTGATTCTTGCTCAAAAAAGTTTGATTCCATAGCCATTCTGCAAGATGTAAACAGCTTAGAACCCATATCAAATCATAAAAACAGAAATTATCAAATATTTTAAGTTTATAGAAAATACTTTTTTATTGATAATATGTTTCCCTTTCTAAAATTGCATGAATTAGCATAAAATCATAATAGAAACATGATTTCTTGCTTCAAATTCCAGAATATCAAACAGATATATACAATTTTCTAAGCTATAATAAACCAAAACGCTTTTCTCTTTATTCCAATTTCTTCCCTCTTCTTCTTCTTCTTCTTCCAATAATAAATTTATCTCTAAATTATTCAATAAATTCAAGAATCAGAAACCCAAACTGGAAACGAAAAACCCATCCTTTATCATTATACGCAGAGATGAAAAATCACCCCAAACCACCAAAACAAGGTCAAACAAATACACCCCAAAAGGGGGAAAAGGATAGAACTTGAGCACAGATAAAGATAGAACTTACCGGTAAAGAGGAAGCTGAAACAGACGAGATGAAAACTGGGTTTTAACTCTATGATAAAAAAAAAACTGGATCTTCAAGCTTGCTTTCTTGTTTCCTTTGTGTAAATTTAGGATTTTAATGGGGGAAATGAAGAGACGAAAGAGAGATTAATATTTATAGAGGAGGAGAAGGAAGGACCCGTGGCTTTTTCTTAACATTTTCAGTGGGTGAAAAATAAGAAACAGCTGCGGCCTGCGGAGTACACCATTGTTTTCTGTTGGACTTTTCATCAAACAACAAGCAGTCATTTGTTTTTCTTTTCCTTTATTATTTTTAGGTAAAGTTTATAAATAGTCCCTAAAGTTTTAGGTTTATTCCATTTTAGTTATCCAACTTTTGAAACTTGCAATACAATCATCAAGCTTTTAGTTAGTTTTTCAGTAAGGTCTCTTGCCGTTAATTTTTGCTGACGTGACACTTAACTCCCGTTAACCCACTCCTACGTTGGAAATAGAAATTGTAAAATAAAAATATTAGCATTGATTGAAAATTAATAAAATAATTAAGCAGTAAATCGAACAATTATGTCATGATATAAACCACTGCCTTAGAAATGCAAAGAAGTGTTTGTTGAATGTTGGATGATAAAAATGAGAGAAAAACCTCTTTATTTGTAGGCTTAGAGATGGATAAAATTGTTAAAATAAATTCAGTAATAAATCTTGATTTTATTTTCAAAAAATAACAATTGATTAAATGTTGTAATTACACTATTATAGTTGGTTGAACCTGACCCCAAAGATATCCAGGTTCATTCAAAAAATAGCCTTTGAGACAGCTATAAAATTAATTCGAAATTCTTTCGTATTTTCTCTAAAAAGATAGAATGTGTGCGGATGTTTCGAAGACACGTGTAACCAAGACCACGACCATGAGTCGAGTCGGCCGGACGACAGCGACGGCGCATGCGTGCGAAAGAGTATCTAATCCACATTCAACAAGGAAGTGAGAATTAGTCTCTTTAAATACCCTTCACAAGGGATATTTCCTTCCAAAGTGGGATACGATACCCATACAAATATGAGTATTACCAACATTCCCCCACTAATGTGAAAGAATTTTTTGAAAAAAGAAAGATTTCAAAATTTAAAAAACGAAAGAAGAGCAATTGCGAGATTAGCTACTTAAGCACTAGTGAGCGTATCAGAACTAGTACATAGTGATAATGAGTAATTCTTCTCTTAGATAAGTGAATGAATCTTGAACTTTCTAAGATTAGGGTAAACTCATAACACACAACTAACATATTCATCCATCGAAGTCATCGATGTGTCTACAAAGAGTATATACGAAAGTATATAGGTAGCCCTCTTTCCTCAAGATTCTAGTAAGTGTATTAGAAAAATAGTCCAACGTTTTTCATAGAAGGTGGCTAATCCTTCTCACTTATATAGGTTATTTCATCAGGTTTATCTCAACATAAACCATCCAAAATCGGGCTATGAAATAATTAAAAACTTTTACAACAACTCAACATTACTATAAGTATAATGAATTTCTTAAAGTTCATCTATAAATGAACCACCCAAACTCTAGGATAAGAAATCATTAAGAATAAATGTTCAACCTCATCAATCGGTGAATTCAATATGTCATTCTCACTATGAACACCCAAACTCTCGTGTTTGAATTCATTAAAAGTTTTAAGAAAACTCATCATTTCTAGCAGTAAGTTCACTTAGTCCTTCGCGAGTAGGACTACCCACTCAACATTGGGTTTTGAACTTATTAATAATAGATATTGAACCAAAAACGGTAAATTCATCAAGTCTTTCTCACTATGACCACCCAAATCTTGGGCTATGAATTTATTAAGAGCAATTAAGCTCATCTTGTGCATGTACATTATTCGTCATAAGGATAGGTAAGAGAATGTACACTATGAGTCTTTCCATGGTTTTGTTTGACCACATTGAACTTAGATAACTAAGTTGGGTATCCACCATGGACTCCTCAACCAATTGGATTTAGACTTATCCTCCTCAAAAAATCCAAAATTAATTTTTGACTTAACCCTTTGGTAGGCAAATGAGCTAGGTTCCTCTCCTACTTCACATACTTTAAAGAAAGCACTATGTTCCTTATTAAATGTCTAAATCCTCTAGGCAAATCTACTAACTCCCACGTGTGATTGAACATTATTGACTCTAGTTCTTCATTTATTGCAATTCTCCAGAAACTAACATCAATAGAACTTATAACTTCATCGTACGACTTTGGATCCTTATCTAATAGGAAAGCCTGAGATGTAGGAACAAAAATAATGTCTACATCACTTAATTTGGTAATAAAGGAAGTTAGGAAATCTGGACCAAAAATAGTGGATACTATTTGTCTTTTAGTTCTTCTAATCTCTAATTATATCTTTAGAGTATCCTTGGTAGGAACAGAAGAAGTTGAGACACGATTAATATAGGTTTCTTTAAAGGAAAGTTATCTTTGAAGAACACAACATCCCTAGATTCACAAATAGATAAATCATGTAGAAACATGAACTTGTATGCGACACTATTTAAAGCATACCTGATAAACACCACATCAACGGTTTTGGGACCGATGGTCAACTTCTTAAAGTCAGACAATCTGACTCTTGCCAAACACCCCCACACTTTCAGGTATTGCAAATTAGATGCATAACATTTCCACAACTAGGTCTTCAATAGTGAACACACTCTTCTTGTTCTTTAAAGAATTGTGGTAGTCAGACCAGGACTGGAGCAGCTTTTCGGTGAAGACATTTGCTTGCAAAACTTCGTATATCTTCATGACCTCGATTAAGATGTCGAAAACTAGCTTTCCATAATTGTGGACTTGATCCATGATCGGCTTATCATCGGACATCTAAAACTTGAGTCATTCACCCACCACGTACTTCTTTATCCCAGCATCGTCGGCTCCGTATTTCTTCTCTAACGTGTCTCATATCGCCATGACACTTTTCTCCTTAAGAAACATGTCAAAAAGTTTATTCGACATGTGACTTAGGAGAAAACCATGAATTGTCTTGTTATCCTTCTCATACTTTTTCTTTTTCTTCTTCTCTCACACACATAAAAATAATTTTCGTTCACCCCACCTCCGGTCAGTGGTGGCTCGCACCGGCATCACCATCGTCAGGAAGGCTTGCAGAGGCTGAAAACTTCATCCTCACCTAGGGTTTTGAGAATAATCCAATATTGTGGCGAGCCTTGTTGAGTGCTTGCAAGGTTTATAGGGCCACTGTAATTGGGAATCATGCTGCAATGAAAGTAATTGAGCTTGAATCCTATGAGTCGTCATCTTATGTTCTTATTCGCAACATCTATGATGATGCTACTGTAGAACTATTCGTTGCGAGTGTCAGAGAACTGATGCAACAACGAGGGGTTAAGAAGGAGCCCGGTCTGAGCTGGATTTAAGGGAAAAGGGTGCTCAGTGATGAACTATCACAATATTTTTATGTGTATATATATAAACATTTATTTTACAGTGCACTGAAAAAGTGTTGCAAAACTAAACTAATCGAAAATTTCAGGGACTTTTTTTATACTTTACCTTTATTTTAAAAAAAATAGTTCAATTAGATAATGGATTTTATTGGAAAGTGAAGATAAGGTCAGGTGTATGAGTTGGAATTTAAGTAAATTTTAAATTATAAAATATATATGGGTAGAGAATTTAAAATAAACAAAATTCTAAGATTTTTGTGTAGTAGAATAAAAATATTGCTATAATGAACATCTAGAAGAATACGACAATCCCATAAAAATAAAGAAAGGAGAGCTTGTTTTTTTACCTTAGGTTAACATTTAGTATTAGCTTTATACATTTTTTTCATTTAGATGTTTACATTATTTTTCGATTAATTTAAGTGTTTAACATTTCAGAATTATAATTTTAAGTGTCTGGACCGTTGTTGTCGTTATATCCTATTGTTAAATGATGTGTGTCGCCTTTATAAAAAAATTAAAAAATAAATTTTCAAAATTACTTGAGCGTGACACGTGTTACTTAAAGGTCGAATTTAGCGTCCCTTACGACTGAGGCACCTAAAAGTATAATGTTGAAAACGTTAAGCACCTAGATTGACAAAAAATATTTAAACACCTAAATAAAAATAATATAATTTCGTTACTTATTTTATGTTAAACCTTAAATATTTACATTTATAAATTCTATGTTTGCCGAGTAGACGATGCTATTAGAAAATTTATTATGTTTGCAAAGCAATCTCGAGTTATAATATATATATATATATATATATATATATATATATATATATATATATATGAATACACTAAATTTCGTCCTTATGTTATATAATATATATTTATATTATAAATTATATTATATATTTATTTACATGTTTCTTTTCAGGGCCCAACAGTGGACTAAACCCAAGTCCCACGTGAAGAAACCCTATGGCAAATTAGGGTTTCAGTCGCCTCTCTCCACCAGCGCAGCAGTCCTTCTCTCGCACGCCTCCCTCACGTCCCAACAGTCCGAGTCCTCCGGCGCAAGAATCACAACCATCATCAACAACCCACATTAGTATTTTACTCGAATTAGAACACTAAATAGGCTGATTTTTTCACTATAAATAGAGATGTAAATAGAACACTAAAAAAGAAAAAGGAGGGGGAAGAGATACGGGTGATACACAAAATACGCAGAAGGAATACTGCAAAATACTAAGGGTTACATATTTTCAGAGCACTTTGCTGTAAACATTCCGAGAGAAATAAAAAGGTAGTGTTTCATTTTTACCTTGTTCGTTCGGTTGCTTCCCTTGCATGTTGATTTTGCGTGATATCTGGCTCGAACTAAACCAAAACCGAACGGTCGAGGAACGAAAGGGAGGCCATTCGATTTATTTTTTCTTTTCTTTCAAAACTTTTTTAGATCTACGTTTTTTTCCTAATCGATTTTCGAAAAACAATCTTTGTTTTCAGAAAGGGATATCAAAAAGTTTTCGAGATTTCAAAAAAAAATAGAAATAAAAGAGATGAGTTTTGCCGCCAATGAACGACGGCCGGCGCCATTCAACGGCGACGGCGAGGCGGCGTAGGGTGGCATTTTCTGGGTTCATGAAGAACCACGGCCCTGTTCTTCATTTCTGAAGAACAGGCGAGAGCTTTTAGGCAAAAGGGGGGAGGGCTCGTTTTGGCGAGAAGAGGAGAATGAGTTTTCATCTGTTTTAATTTTTATTTTAACAATCCAGATATGTTCTTTAAAACGGTTAAACCGTGCATTTGATGCCTCTGTTTTTATAAAGTTATAATTTGCCCCTTTGGTTCCAAGTGTAATTCGAATTCCTATCAAATTTGGCCTTAAGTTTCATTCTATTTTCAATTTAGACACCATATATATATATATAATTATTACGTTAAATCCTTATATTATTATTGTATATTTTTGTATTATTTATACTGATACGCATGTATTCTTTTACATTTTATTGGTACAACATTATTAATATACATGAATTACTAATTATGCTTATAATCATTTCTTATTTCTAGTATAATATCCTATAATCGTATATGTATATATTTCAATTCAACTTGATACTTATACTATTATTTTTATTTATTTCATATTACTTACTTTGTTGTACATATACGTATCTTTTATATATTTTACCTATATACCCATTATTAATAAATATATATTATTTTTTAAATATGTTATTTTTTATATATATATATATATATATATATATCGTATTTTATTTGTTTTGTACACATATTTTTATTTTAGTATTATTGTCGTATATATTTGTTATTATTCTCTTTTATTTAATTATTTTTCCTATATGATATTACCTATATATATATATATACTTTTATTGTATTTTAATTAAATATTATTTTATATATACCTAATTTGGACTATATGTCCTAGAAGGGGCCGCTTTTATCTTCAATCAAATTTTCCCCCGACTTTCGGTGGAGTAATTGTGGGGGGTAAGTTTTATTTTTTATTATTTATTATGTATGTATGTTTTATTTGGTTGGTTTTGATGTATATATATATTTCTTATTACCATATATATATTTTTCTTTTCAAGTTGTACTATATGTACATATTATTTTTTCCTCATCTTATTTATTTAGTTATCTATTTATTTATTTTTCTTTATTTTTCTTTATCTTTGATTTATTTACTCATATTTGTTTATTTATTTATCCATTTATTTATGTATGTTGTCTTTGCTTTTTTTTTTATCTCGTTTTATTCTTTTTCCCCTTTATTTTATTTTCTTTGTTTTCTTCAATCTAACACGTTCACTTTTAAAGGGTACAACTTTCAAATCAATCTACGGTAAGTAATTAGGACTAGAGTCTTACCTTGTAATTTAAACTTATATTTTTCTTAATTAAAGACAACTGGAAATTACATAGTACCGAAAGGGTGGTTCAAGGGTGCTAATCCTTCCTTGACCGTAACCGACTCCCGGATCCGACACATCTTTGGTACGACGCAGATCAGGTAAGAAATAAGGTATCCGATCAACCCATTTTTCATAAAATAAATGATCGGTGGCGACTCCAATCCACATTTTTCAAGTCGAAGCCCAAGTTTGGGCACAACCAAAAGGCGGTTGCGACAATATATATATATATATATATATATATATATATATATATATTAAAATCGAGAGAGACAAAATCAAAATAAATTAAAACTTAAATATTTAAATATATTTTATTCGTATATCTTTTAATAATAAAGAACTTAAGGATGGTAATCCTTAAATTGGTAAAACTTTCGAGATAATGTTCTGGAAAAAATTAATTCACTAGATAAAGCACTCCCAAGATTAATTGCTCAAATAAGGTGAAATCTACAGTGTTGGCCGTAGGTCGCCATGCCTTCCGGGCGACCTACTAGGTCGCCATGTCTTCCCGGCGAGCTACAAGAGATTGCATGTGCCATGCACGTCCCAACACGATGGGCATCTGAGGCCATCCGACCGAGGCCATTCGACCGAGGCCATCCGAGAGCATCCGAGGCCATCCGAGAGATCCGAGGCCATCCGAACGAGCTATGTGAGGGCATCCGAGGGCAACCGAACGAGCTATGAGAGGGAATCCGAGGGAAGCCGAGCGAGGGTAGGTCGCCCGGAGGGCATGGCGACCTATGTGTTGGGACGTGCATGTGCCATGCAACACGTTCATTCTCTCTGTTTGAGCAAGGGTAGGTCGCCCGGAGTGCATGGCGGCCTACAAGGTCGCCAGGAGTGCATGGCGACCTACAAGGTCGCCCAGAGTGCATGGCGACCTACGGCCAATACTGTGGATTTCACCCTATTTGAGCAATTAATCTTGGGAGTGCATTAGCTCGTGAATTAATTTCTTTCAGAACATTATCTCGAAAGTTTTACCCCTTAAATTTGTATATAATTCCGTTACGCTCAATAACTAAATCAATTATAAGATAATATTTATTTGAAATTTTTCTTCCAAGAACGAAACTCGAGTAATTTAATTTTAAAAATAATTTCGTGTTGGTTTAGCATAGGCGGTTTAAGATAAGTTGAAGCAGACAATAAACGAAGTTGCCTACCCTGTCATGTTTCTTTCTTGCCCAGCAGTTGCCTAAGCTGTTGAATCTCTAGAAATTCTCGGGACCATCATTTTCAAAAGGTGGCCAATTCTAAGGAATCTTTGAAGTTCTAGATTTCTTGAAATTCCATGTTTAATTCTTGTTTTTCTTTAGGGTAAATTGCACCGTCAGTTACTGAACATTAGATTTTATATCAATTTGATATTAAACTTTAAAACGTTTTAAAGTATTGCATTTTGATTTTGAATTTGAATTTAATTAAGATATTAGATAACTAAACCTATTAACGACGTGATGAGATGATCATATCTTTTATATTTTTTCGACATAAAAATAGTAATTCTTTTAATCGTTGTTGTCAATCAATCATCTATCCTACGATAATTCTAATATGAAAAAAGTTTACATTTCACTCATAAACTCAATTCTTGGGGATAAGGATCAAGAATCCCAAAACAAATATGTAAAAAAATATTATCTAAAGGAGTATGCCGTGCCACTAGGGATGGGCACTCAACCCGAATCTGACGGGTTTCGATTTGATTGGGTCAGATTTTGTTTAAAAAAAATTCGGGTTCAGTTTTAGGATGAAAAATATCCAATCTGACCCAAAAAAATATATAATTTTACCTTATATATTTATGAATAATTACAATAATACCCCTCTATATATAATTTTTTTCAATTAAGTCATTATTTTTATTGAATAAAATTAATTTTTTTTATTTCGGGTCTGGTCGGGTCGGGTTTCTAAGTCATGTATTCGGGTCGGGTCGGGTGAAATTTTATTTTGGTCGGGTAGGGTCTCGGGTGAAGGCTCCCTTGTTCTCGGGTCGGGTCGGGTGGACCAAAAACCAGACCCATGCCCATCCCTACGTGTCACCTTGTCACCCACATATATATTATCTTACTTCGACAATTCTCTGTTCTTCAAGATCGATTGATTCTAACTTTTTAAAATATATTTATAATTTGATTTTTTAACTTCGCTCCTACTGTGTTTAAGGAACCTGCATGAATGCATGCATACGGTGAAATAATTTTTTTATTTAAAGTAAGTAGAAGACAGTATCTGTTTAAATATAACTCTTAATTATTTGATATTGAACGCTCACACTCTTGATATTTTTTATGTTCAAACCCGATACTTCAAGGAATAACAATAATTCATTTATCGCAGAAGTCGCTCGATTCATGTTGGTGAAATAATTAGAAACTGTCTAATATGAGATGAACCAAAGGATGAGACGGTTATATTATGAGAATTTTAAATTATCATAAAATTTAAAATTTTCATGTATTTTTTATTAAAAATTTGTTTTCGCTGTCTAAAATTTTAAAAATTTATTTCTTAACATAAAATTATAGATCTGTCCCGAGTCCAATAATAAATTAGGATGAAAAGTTTCAACCATGGAGTACATAATGTTATTAGTTGTAGAAAATTCAACACTACATTGTGATGATAACGATAATTAATATAAGAGATGAGAAATGAGAAGTGTTTCACAATAAGAAGCGGCTTCAACATATTGAACACAACTTCATGTTCAACACACGTGCCTTGATGTTCTGGAAGTTAATAGCTCTAGTTCCAAGCTCTGATCGACATGTGTACTTTCACGATCTATCTGTCACTCTCACGACTAAGTGCTGTATGTTATCCGCGTCATCAATGACAATAAGAACCTATTTATGAGACAAGGTTCGACTTATGATGTCATTCCCATCATGAACATTAAAAAGATTGAATATTTCCTCAGGAAAAATCTGGGAAAGTAGAAGTTTCTGCAAACAAACAAGTCCTTGTTTCTCCACAACAGAAGATTTTGTCTTGAAATTTGGGTATAAACAAATATTGCAAGTGTTGTTTTACCTGACCCACCCATGCCACAAACCCCTATATAAAATGAGAACAATGGGACTACTGTAATGAACTTAAACCCATCCATGTCCCAGAAGAAATGGCAGTCAATAGCAGCCTATCTCAGAAACCTTGTATGATAGAACTAAGAAAATAACCTGGACATAACTGGAATAGACCACCGTTCAGAGCCACGGTTGATTCTTGAATGATTGAAACAGAAAACCAAAGGTGATGGAGCATTAGAATAAGGTTATTCTAGCAACTCCAGAACGAACCACTGGGATGACGACCGAAACCACTGGAATCATTATGTTTATACTTACGTCTAGAACTTTTCTTCCTAGAACTCTTTTCTTTTTTTGTGATTGTTTCTTCATCCCATAACTTTCTTACATCACCATTTTCTTTTACTTTCTTCTTTTGGTGTCTTTCTTTGGAAGAAGACTTCCTTTTTCTCCCAGAGGATTGAGCACTAACAACTCCAGTGTTTCCATCGCATCGAGGCAGCGGATCTTCATCGTCTAATTGCCAATTGCATAAAATGTTCTGCTGCTCTCCGTGAATTGTTTGTAAAGGCTCTCCGGCACCAGGAAGCAAGCTATTAAAAGTGACATCACCACTGGGTCCTCCTTTGCGCTCAAGTAAAACTGGATCCGGTCTAATTATGGTACCAAGAATGCTTCTATTCGGGCCCAGAGACAAAATGGTCTTTGGATTAGTAAGGGTAGAAAGAGCCATACCGAAAGCTGACTTAATCTGCAAGACAATACACAATGTTCTCACTACAAGTATGCTCGTAGGAGCCAAAACTTTAACTCATCTTCGATAGAAGGTTGAAATGAAGCCAGCCTCGTCTAACTTATACAACTTGACAAATACTTGGTTGTTTATCATATAAAAACGTAATATTAATTATGCATTTGGATAGAAGGTGAAAGATTGCAGCCATGGGTGTAGGGTTTCACCCTTAAAACACAGTGAACTAGAAAGATAAAAGTTGTTAACCTGGATATAGTTGAATGAGTTCTTCCCGATGTCATTGTCTGGAGTCTGTTTGTCATAAGGAAGAGATTAATAAAAATAAATGAAACAACAACACGTACACAAAAGCATAACTTGACAGTCAAAGGACGCATGAATAAAAAGTAGCAAAATTCAAGGCCACCTGTGGATCCTCAATGGAGATGAGAAATGGTCGTCCTTTATTTGAAAACCTAAAAGAGAATCAAACCAAAAAGAAGAATACACCATTTTAGTCGCCAGTGCTTGAGGATGGAAAGTAATAAATTCAGTATGAAGGAAGATTTTTCCTTTTACCCTCTGCTACTCTTCGAAAAGAAAGTGCCTCTATCTTTACAAGACACACCAACATCCACAGTGTTCAATTTTCGACCATAAAAATCAAAGAAATGTACCTGATTTCAAAAAAACATTTATACGATTTCCTGTCAACTTGTCTTTTTTGTTCTCTTTTATCACAAAAGGTTCAGACTAAGAAGAGGAGAATAAAGGTCTAGTTTCTATGCACACATACCAAGAGCATCCCCAAGTTATGTTCCAGATAAGCTTGAGATTCACACAGATTCTGGAGCACAAAAAGGCATAGATATGTTAGACCAGACAAATAAAACAGAAGCAAAAAAAGGTACTGGAACCCAAAGCCTTATCAAAATCTGAAAATTATTGCTGCATGTCGTTTATTATTCTATTAAAATTCTTAAAGAACAAGTACCATGGAGTGATTTCATGGGTACCAGGCAGAAGCAAATGGACATCTGCTTGCTGCTCATACTGAAAATTTTGAACATGAGAATTTTGCTTACCTGCAACATGGCTATGATCATTGCAAGGAGAGCATATGAACCTATTCCGCCAGAATATACCTGCATAGTTTCAAAAACATTGAAAATCAAGTAGAGGAATGATAATATTTTTCTTTTTGAAGAAAAAGAACAGTGCTTTAATATAGACAAACACAAACCTCATTCAGGTCTCTCTGCTGTAAAAATACTTTCAAGATCAAACACAAAGGTCGTAATTGAGGCCATTTTTCTATTGCTCCCTAAGAGAAAAAACATAAGAACAATTTTAAATTTAGAAAAATACAAAGGTAAAAAAATCTTGGAAAAGTCTTAAGCTATGGAACATACAAAAAAAATCTAAAGCAGAGCTTTAATTAATCACGGTAAAAAAACAGAAGTCCTAATTTTGTGGAACATGAGGTAGTCGGACCAAAATGGTTTACATAAACTTTAACCAAAGAATCCAAAAGTATACGCAGGAAACAAAAGAAAAGTAAGCAGTAATTCCCATCAATGAACATAAATCTAGCAGAGAATCAAACACAATACATCCAATACAACCCTCGAGAAAAATTTCATCCAAAAAAGAAGCTTGACTGAAAAGAAATCCTTAAATGAAAAAGTTTATGGTCCCACAGAATTAACCTCATCTGAGAAAAAAGGGATTAAAATAACTATAACTTAAGCACCACTATCAAAAACTAACACAAATGAAACACCAGAACACAGGAAAGTCGGTAATTGCAACAAACCTTGATAAACTCAGCAGCTTTTGGTCCATTATCCACATCAAAGCTGCAATATTGAACACCCAATTAAATATAAAACTTTGAGAAACAACGCCAAATAAAACATGAAACATAGTCTTTTAATTGCCACTTCAAACCAAGATGATAAACAACTTTCTTTGTGAACTTATCACTTATGCTAAATGTCGGGCTAGGAACCTAAACATGTCTCCACCCTCATCAAATTCCAAGCATCCCAACGAATATTGTCAATCAAGAAAATAGCTCTTTACATGCTTACATAAAAAATGATGACAGATTTCCAATTACATGGACCTCCCAATTTTCATGGATCTCTAAAGAAAACCGTGAAGACAATTTAAAAATCCTACCCTAATATCTTGCCAAAAGCCATACTGCTAAAAATTTCACACTGATCCAGTGTATTTTATGATGATATTCATACCACAATTATAACATACTCAGAAATGTTTGGAGACAGAAAAATTTCTAGATGGGTATTTAGATTAAATTATACGAGGACAAGGAAAATTTTCAAACAAATATATGTTATGAAATGAAGTTTCAATTAATGAAGAAATTGTGAAATTTGAATCAATCCAAAAACAATGCAAGAGGAGTTCAGAACTACCTTACATCAAAAGCAACACCACTTTTCTTTTCTACAAACTTAACTATTGGCACACGAGCTTTCGCAATCACCTGATAGGAATAGAACTGTTAGTTAAACATACTGTACTGTATAAATAAACATTTTAGAGAAACAAAATACCTGCATCTTCTTTGCAATCCCCCTTTGAGACAATGCCCTGGAAATAGCATGCAAACCAGTCTGAGGTTTTTTTATACCCGACTCTAGAATCACTACCTGCATAAAATATAAACAAATGGCTTAAGTCAATCATACAAGACAAGAGATAACTCAAAATTTTTTGTCAGTTTCCTTTTGCCTATTGTTTTCTTTCCATAGGAGAAAATATATAAACTAAATATCATTATCCTGATGAAAACACATCAAATACGTTAAGCATGCTATATTATAACAAGATTAAACATTAAAGTATTTGACTACCAAGACATAAATTTTACGGGATAAAAGGAAGCATAATACTCACATCAATATCACTTGTTGGTAAATAAAGCCCTGTCCTGAATGATCCAAAAACTTCTGGCTGCAATGCAACAATTCGTTAGATTTTGGCATTGTATACTATATGCATCTTTACATGTGTGTCTTTTAAGCATGAGAGAAAGAGAGGCTGCAAATCATACCCTGCAGGCAGGCCATATGTATTTGATAACATCAAAAACAGAATGCACAGCTGCATCACGGGCTGCTTGCTCTTCAGGAGTGGGAGATAGAAAATCACAAAAATCCACTATCTCTACAATGCCCACCATGGTAAAGTATCAAAATCTGCTTATGATGTACACACCATAAAAATGGCCTTCAAGAATGTTTATCACCATCCACCAACTAAAAAACCCAATGTGCTTGATTCATTGGCTCATCTATCAACTTCAGGTATCATTCCTAACATTACATATGACAGTCTATGACTCTGCAATTAAGATTTCAGGACCTTACTGAAAATTGTACGTGGAGCCCTCCATTTCTTTTCTAAACAATCATATTTACAAAGCTAATCTGTTTTTCCCTTAAATCACACAAACCAGCGTAACATGGAGATGATAGAATTTGAATTGATTATCAAGAACTGGCACAGAATCCAAGGGAAATGTACAAAATATATCAAAGGATATCACAATTTAAAAACTTCAGAATTTCAATTCCAGCCATATTCATCCATTACTAAAAGAAATGAATGCATCAATGTAAAGGAATTTGAAAAATATGACAGTGATCAAGCTGGCCAAGATTATCGCTAGGGATCAAAAACTGAAGTTCAACTCAGTTCAATCGCAGCATATAAATTTATAGCCAACTAAAACTAATCATCAGTCATCACAAAGTTCAAAGTTACATAAAATAACACACAAAAATTAGTCAAAAAAATTCAAAATTTTCATTAATACGGCTTAAATCATTACCAACCTTTATGCAACTGAAGCATTGGACTTTTAAACTTGCTATTCCCACCAAACCACCATTTGTTCTCAAGCCTTGGCTCATCCACAGTAGCTGGTGTCTTCGGCTCCGCTTTATCCCAGGCCGAGACTGGAGTCTGAATTATTACCGGCTCATTAACATCAAGCGAGAAATAGTCCGGCGCATCTGAATCCACGGAGACGGGATTTTCAGCCGATAGAGAGATTTCGTTGCGGAAGACAGTGTACGGATCAAAAGGAGATCGACTGGACGGCGGAGATTCGGCGGCAGGGGATGAAGGGAGGGAAATTGGGTCTAAGGTTAGGGTTTCGTAGAGGATGATGGGTTGCGAAATGGTGAGGGTTTGGAGTTCCATTGAAAGGAAGTTCGAAAAAGGTTGGGGAATCGGGAATTTGGGGATGATGATAGGGCTTATAGGTCTAGGATTACGGGTTGGAAATCGCTGGGTTTCGGGGTTCCGCCGCCACCGGAAGGAAATTTCATGGAGGTTAAAGGTTAGGGCTTCGGGGATTGGGAAAATAGGGTTACAGTTCTAGGCGGGAATATTAGAGGGTTCAACGTTGAAACGACGTAGGATTTATACATTTGTTGTAGTTTGATCATTTGTCTTTTTCTTAAACTCTCTATTTTGGTTCTTCACTACACTGAATTTTGATATTTAGAGCGCGTTTGGTTCACGGAATGTAAGGTTATCAATGGGAATAAAAGATTACCAGGGAATAGGATTACTGAGAATGTTGTATTCTGTGTTTGGTTGGTTTAACAGGAATGTAAAATTATCGTGTTTGGTTAGAGAAATAAAAGATTATTGAAATGTATATTTGACCAAATTGTCCTTATTATATATTTGTTTTTTAACAAGTTGAAAAATATTTATATATTTTTCTTTAAAAAAATTAAATTCATAAAATTTATATAATTTTTTTTACAAAATTGAAAATATAAAAAAACTTAATGAAAAGGTAATATTTTATTTTAACCCCTGAACTTTATATAAAATTTTAATTATAGACTTTTTTTGTAAATCTAAAATAGTTTAAGGATAAATTTGTAATTTAACATTCTTAAAATTTTTAATTATTTAATGACAGATTAAGGATATTTTTGAAAGAATTTTTTTTAAGAGCATTTTAGTTCAAAACGCTAATAATCTAACAATACCTAAAGAAATGGATGTAATAACATTTCCGGTAATATACCCCAAAAAATCTACTATTGATAATGTAAGATTACCGATAATGACATTCCCAGCCAACAAAACGGGGGAATGTGGATTTCATTCCCATGGGAATCTCACATTCCCCCAACCAAACACACCCTTAGGGGCTGCTTGTTTACTTGATTAAGCGCTGAATGATTCAAATATTGAATGATTCAGAAGCTCTGTATGAATTAACTCTGAATGTGACATGTTGTTTGATAATTGCTCTGAATCATTCAGAATGTATTTCTGTGTTGAATCATTCAGCATTGTTTTGCAGAATCAGTCAACACTGAATCATTAAGAGGTGGGAAACAAACGGTATGAATATTGAACGCTGAATGATTTCATTCAAAGCCAAACAAATAGCCCTTAGTCTATTTGTTTTGTTTGACATGACTTTTTCTTTATTTTTAGGTCAAATACTTAAATAAGATTTTAATATTTTAAAAATTGTTTATATAATTGTTGATAAGTGATTGAAGATATAATATTTCTAAATCTGTTTACATAAGAATCTTGTTTTATTCAAAAGGTTATTTAACCCAAATTAATTTAGAAAGATTATAGAATAATATATGTTTAAAAGATCTTGAATTATTTAGTAATAAATGTTAAAATATCTTGTAATTGACGTACTCAAACATGTAATCTCTAAAGATAACAATCATTCTTTAATCGTTAAAGATAATTTGATTCGTGCATCTAACCTACAATCTATAATTGATTGAGAGAAAAGATATGAAAATTAAAGCAATCACAAATATCACTTGTCGTAACCGGTTTTCGCCTGAGTACAAAATTTTTACTTGGCGGGAAAAATGATGTGCATAAATGGTTTTTAAAAATGTTTTGGGAGTCGCCATCGGCCTTTTTGGATCAGGTAGGTCGAATACCTAAAAATTATCTTTTAAAAGAATTTTTAAGAAAATATCAGTTAAAAGATAAATTGGTCTGCATTTTAACCAAAAATTCGTTCTTTTTAATAATAAAAGGGATTCGTGGTCGATTACGTTTGGGGAAGTATTAACACGCCCACAACACCCAAAAATTGGTACTCATTAATTATAAATTGTCTCTATCATTAAAATTAAAAAATATATTTAATTCATAATCCCGTTATTTCAAATTTATTAATATAATTTTAAGAAAATATATTAATAAGATATTTATTTACTTAGAAATATCAGAAAAGAACTTCTAGGTGCTTTAAGACAGTCCATTTCTTTGATATAAAAAATAAATATTATTATTTAATTAAATATATATTTTATGACTTAAAATAAAAATAAAATAAAATAAATAATTTATATATAAAAAAACGAAAAACGATAATAATGATTAAATTTTAACATTTTAAAAAAATATAATTAATTAATAAAATGTATAAATATTATGTTTATAAATAACAAATATGGTGGAAAATAAAAAGTCAGCAACATGTAAAAAAGGAATGAATAGAAAAATGTGTATGATGAAAAACGGGCAATGACTGAACTAATAATAGTAACGTTTATTTATTATAATTTTCTTTTATTTTTAATTATTCAATTACATCATAATTATTTATGAATTAACTACTCTTCACCAACTTTGATTTATAAATAAAACCTTATAATAATAAAATAAGAATCATAATCAAATTTCAACCCCACTTCTATTTAAATAATTTCTTAAATATTATAAAATTATTATTAAAATATTGTTAAACTTAAAATAATAAATAAAAACTCAAATTTTAACAATATAAAAGAAAGAAACGTGATTATTAGGTCCACTAGCATTATTAACATATTTCCCTCCCAATAAGTCAAGTTTTGCCGCTCAAAAATCTATTCCAACTGCTCCATCATGTGATTATTAGTGGAAAATAAATGTAATATTACTCTATATTTTACTAATCCCAATAATTTAATACTATTATTTCTAAATTTGTGTAGGCATAAAAAATTTAAATAATTTTATAAATTTAAAAATCGTTTTATTTAATTACCATGAAACAAGAAAGAATAAAAAACGATAATTATACCTTAAATATATATATTTTATGTAAAGGACTAAAATAAATAAAATTAAAATTAAGAAACCGAATTATAAAGATTTAAAATTTGATTCAGTGACTAAAATAGAAATTTATAAATATAGGATGGCAACAGGTATAATTTATCCATTTAAAATTACCCATGTACCCTTCTTCAAAAAGACGTCGTTTGGGAAGGGGTATAAATCCCCTAAAATGGCCGGCCCTTAAGGGTCATTCTCTCATTTTTTTTCTTTCCTTTTCTCTCTCTAGCTGAGAGAGAAAAAAACTCTCTCGCCTCTCTCTAGATTCCTCCAACCGGAGGAAGGTCGATTTCCGGTCGGCAACCGTGCTCAAGCGCCGATCGCCGTCGCCGGCCATCGTCACCGGTGGTTAGAAAATATAAAACCCTCTCAAAAGACAGATCGAAACGATCTAAAACGAATCCAACTCTCTTCTTCTATAAAACACGTCCTATTTACGTAGATCTACAAAAATACCTTCGAGTATTTCGAATCTTTTTGTCACGCGTGGATATTTGTTGTATCTTCGGTGACCGTAGAGTCCTCGTTGGTAAGTTCTTTCTCTTTCGGTTTAATATTTGTTGGTTTTTGGTTGTTTGTGGCTCTTGGTTGCTGGTCGTTGGTCTCAGTCTCCTCTTTCTGTTTGTTCGTCGTTGTTGTGGTCTCTTGTTCTCCGTTGCTCTCTGTCTCTTTTCTTGTTTGCAGGTGAGCCGAGACTTTATAGCTTCGATGAAGCTCTTGTCGGACCGGTCCCAGAGGGGTTTCGCGGTGAGTCACCATAGCTATGGTGGTGACTCACCATAGATCTCGACGTGGGCGGATGTTATCATGGCAGCAAAACTTCTGGAGTGTTCTGTTGGTGGCGTCGTGGCAGCGGCGGAGCAACGTGGAGGTGATGGCAGCAACAGCGGCGACCGCGTGGTCCCTAGGGTATCATAACCCTAGGGTTTCTTGTTGGAGAGCTTTGGATCGTTGGATCTGGCCAGATCCAACGGTGGATGACATTGGCGGCTAGATGATGATATGTAAACCCTAACTAAGTTTAGGTTACACATTTGGGCTCTATAGGGCTAGTTGGGTCGTCTGGATTGGATCCAGACCTGGGCCTCCATGTTTGGGCTCTTGTAACTGATATTTTTGGGCTTGTAACAATATTTGTATTTATTTAATAATAATAATAAATAATAAAATAATAATGTATATTAATAATAACAATAATAATAATAATAATTTTAAAAATAATAATTTAAATAATTTAAGTAAAATGAAAAATTAGTGTTTACATCACTCAAATCACTATCCAATATTGAACTCCTCAATTACTATAGTTGGAGCACTTGATATTGATATTGATGGATCATCTTACAATCTTCATTTCTGTATATATGAATGGTTTACAAATATTTTTATCTAAAAATAATAGAAAGTGACAAAATAAATATTTCATCTCAGATAATAAAATCTACGAAAACAACGATTATAGTATTAAATTGTGATCGCAATTATGATTGTGGTATTATGGTTACGGATTTTACAGATGTTACGGTGTGATTTATTTCTTAAAAGTAATTACATTTTTATATTGTAAATATAATTTGCGATGTCACGATAACCTTAAAAAAAATACTATGATGCAGTGGACATAAATTTAGGTAACTATAGATATAATTCAGTATAATTTCTTTTAGGACTCAAACTTTTCTTTACTAAAGAATCATATTTTCTTAATAAATCCTTTTAAAAAACCCTGGAAATTTGTCCAAATGGTCACCAATGCAAACGACAGACATACTTGCCTAACATGAATCATTGGCTCATTGATGATCCAGGCCCCCTTTCATTGAACGACGGAAGTCCCGGTTATGGAAGCAAGTATGAAGTATCTTGGGGAACATGGATCATTGGGCTTCCAACGGGCAAAGAGCGCGGGACTTCATTACTCAACCGCGATCGAAAACACGATCGCAACCGTAATTTAATTCCCCGGTGCAGCTTCTCCCTTTCTTGAATCTTGATAGTGTTTCCAAGTGATCGGTTTCGTTCTGACAGATAACCATGTTGAAAGGAAGGTAACCGTAAATCATAACTCAATTACTTAGATCGAGCTAAATGGAAGAAACAATGAGCACCCATCGGAAGCCGGTTGCCGGTTGATACTGATGGAATCTTGTCACCGCGACTAGCAAGAAAACACTAGCAAGATTTAAGAAAGGGAAAAGCTCACCTGAATAATGAAGTCTCCGAACAGCTCTGGCCCGTCGGAACCCAAAGATTCAAATCCCACAAGAAACTTCATACTTACCTCCATAACCAAACGTACCTCCTTGGGACTGCATGCATGGTTAAAGAAAAAGGCTAAGCTTGTGGTTCGTATTTACATAATATGATGGTGATTGAATTTATTATTATACTTGTATCTAATATTTTTAAATTTAGATAATTTAGATGTTACCAAGAATTTAACAGCTAATAAACATCTGGACTGATTAAATTTATGTTTTTTTCCATGTACTATGTCAATGCCATCTATTTTTCTAATTTTGCAGGAAAATCTGGGTTTACAGCTTGTTTGTTTCTGTGTCATATCTGAAAATGATTTGGCAGAATCCAACTAATCCTCCCAGAACACCTGTTCCGATTTTTCTCAGTTAAAAAACATACCAACTTCCAGAATCAAATTCCTCAAATTGGAATCTCGTACAAACAATTTAACTAATTTCCTCCTGCTTTCCTTTCATGGCTCTGCTTTTTTATTACAACAATCTTTGTTACTGGTTTTTTTTTTTTTAAAGCAATATTCAAGAAGAAAAAACCAGACATTTTTGAAGATGGTTACTCTAAGGTTCGAAATCCATTCATTGAATTTACCTCTTACAATATCTTCTCTTGCGGCCCTCGGCATTGCCATTGTTTTATTATCCTGCATTGTCGGAGCCTGCATCATTGCTACATCGATCGTCTTCTTGTTCGATTACATCGTCTGTGAATGCCTCAGTTGGCCGATATTCGGGAAGTTGTTTTCCGATATGATAAGAAGCGGGATTCACGGAGTCCGGACTGCGGCTTACCGTGCGATAATCGTTCACTATTTGCAACCGTTGGATACAGTCGAAGGTTCCCCGGAGAGAATTCGTTGCAGGCAAGTGTTGAGGCAGCAGGCCTTGGAGAAGCTATTGCCTCCGACGGATTACGGGGTCGATAAACATCCGATGGAATCCGAAGACTGCCCGATTTGCTTGGATGAATATGTGGTTGGTGAACCATGCAGGGTTTTTCCGGATTGTAAGCACATGTTTCACTCGAGGTGCATTGATCATTGGCTCAGGAATCATGTAACATGCCCTGTTTGTAGAAGATGTATTTAATATGCATAAACATTGCGTGTATTGGTCACTAATTGTACAGAGAAGTGGGAGTTTAAAACCATTTTTTTCGAATTTTTTGATATATTCGAATACATGCATCGATATGAATACCAGTTTCGGTATACATTAGGATCAGAAACTAAACAACAGACCAGTTTACGGAATTATTTCGGAAACAGAACTCGAAACATCTCCATGGCAAGTAGTAGTAACAAATGCTGTCTCTAGGTGCTAGATTTCAATGATGATTGCTCCTCTGGATCCACTGGAAGTTCATCATATGTGACCGATTCCCGGAATCGCTTCGGAAGGAAACAACGACCGCCAAGGCGCTGTTGTAAGTATACTATTGCGGCAAAGAACAGGCCCAACATAGGAATAATGCAGTCCCAAGCAGTTGAGAAGTACTCTGCAGTAGGATTTGCATAAATGTATGAGTCGGTCATATCAACATAGTTGTGTGCCCTGTAAAGATCATATCCATGGGGAACCAGGCGGATGAGGGTGAATCCAATATAAAAGAATCGAGAAAGAGCCGGTTCTTTTGAGTTCAGGAACATGTTGAAGACGATTTGCGGGAAAAGAAAGGCATCAAGGATCAAACCAGCATATGCTCTAGATGCTCCCAAAATGGTCTGCTCTATGTAGGACGACGAATGCTGCTGGCTTACGGCGCTGATGATTAAGCCTCCAGCTATGTATACCGGAAAGCACAAGTAGAGCCCCCTCTTTTCGGCAATCCACAAGGTTTTGTTCTTTTCTTCGGAACATCTAGCGGTCCATGAGAGCATCAGAAGACGGATATGCAGCAGAAAAGCCACCATTGTCACGGCTCTAATGATCACCTCGTTCATCTATAGCCATATTCCGCTTCTCACCCAGACCGATTGTTCGCTATCTTGATTGAACATCGCTTCAAGATTTAGAACCAAAGGGATTAAGTATCCTAGGGATAGAATAACAAGCGTGAGAAGTGAAACCGAAGGACAAACTCCAGGGTGCCTCTTCACATGAATGATTTGAAGTACTACAAAGACAATAGCAAGAGTATTGGATATGACAGACATGACCATCTCGAAATCCATTCTCCAAATCGATTCCGCTGCCCAACTGCTATAATAAGCTCTTCCTGAAAACTCCAGAGGTTCTAAGTGCAGATAATCGGTTTTCTTGCGAGTGCTCTTGATGCTTCCCTTGATTTTACTGCCTTTCCTGTCTGAGTTCAATGGAGGAAAATGGACATCTACGACTATATCACAGTCTGTTGATTTGTTGTGTAACCCCAAACGTCTGCAGCCAACCATGCACAGATTACCTGTATCAGCATCATAAAATCCTTCAGCGGAAATATGGATCTTCAGATATCCATTTGAAGATTGATTAAAAGGATCGAGGCCGGGAAACAATTCCGAACGAGATACGTCGATTCTCATCTCATAGCTGATATTAAGCAAGCTGACACCAGCATGAGAACTTTTAGGCCTTGAGCTTGAGGATGGTATTAGAAAGGGAAACATCTGATGAGGATGATCCCCAACCGCAAGAGGACTCGACGAACCCCATCCGAATATTCCTTTAGGACCTTTGATTGTCATACTAAAAGCCATGTCTGCAGAATAACCATCCGGGTACTGTCTACTGCTGTTCCCATTGATACTCTTCTTTGGACATGACTTCTTTACTTGGTCAGTTTCCATGTATTCATACTTCAATCCTTGAAGCTGAATTCGCCCCCTGTTATTCTCGGTGTCACGGAACACGATCCGATCGAAGAAACCGGATTCATTCCTAGCCTTCTCACTCCAAATTTCACCTACAAGAGTACTTGTGTTTCTGATAGACAAGATTGCAGGGAATCTTAAGTTCAACCTTGTGCTGCAGTCTCCAACATGAAACTTCTCCAACGAGCTGCTCGACGCATTCTCGATTCGACAAGCAACGATACAAAGCTGATTCCGCTTTGAATCCCAAGATCCTTCTCCAATCAATGAAGTACTGAAATTGGAAGATCTAGAATACCTCATATAGGTATTATCATCAGGAAATTCTATCAGAAACCTCAATCTTAGCTTATCATCCGAGCACTGAATCATGCTCAAATACATCAACTGGGGCGAATATCCAAGGTCGTCACCAAGGGGACTGCAACTCTTTGATGAACCACAACCACTCGAATACTCGAGTTCGAAAGCATTATCTTGAACCGAGAACATATCACAGACATGTCTAGTCCTTGATAAGCTGAGAGATGACTTCTCTGGGACATCAATTCCACCAGGACAACCTTGATTAAAGTTTTTCAAAACCTTCTTGTATCTGTAGCCTCCTTGAGGAAACATCAACACCGATATCGGATCGACATAATTCGGATTGTCGGCAGGATACAAGCTATCCATGGTTCCAGTGATTAAAGTATTGATATCACTTGAATCCTTAACGTTGTTCAACTTGAGAACAGCTCTAAGATGAAGCACTTCACCTTCCTTGGAGTAAGCATAACCCGATCCCACCATGCAAAGCTTCCCGGTCGTTCTCGACCAGAAGCCATGAAAATCGAAGTCCAGAGTTCCACGAGCACTTGAATCACTCGAATACGAATAGGAGTACCTCCCATGATTGGTGAAACTCTGTTCGTAGTAGTACGAGCTTTGGAAGATCAGGTTTCCTTCCACCTTGAAGACATCCTCGACACGAGTCGTATAAACATGGTGAGTTTCGAAAACGAGTACTTTCGATGCCGGTGGATAATAATACCCATCCGAGCTACGATTCAGGACATTATCCCCGCCACTGTAGTAACCGTTTTGAAGTCCAGGAAACGGTAAGATATTGAACTCCTCATCAACTACTTCCGAGTCAGGAACAACTGAATCACAGTGACCGCCATAAACGAACTCAGTTGCAGTGCCATGGACTATATTAAGACACATGAAAAACAAGATGATAGACAACAAGGACGGACGGAAAAACAAAAGCTTCGTTGAAGTAGAGAATATGGAACAATCCATAATAACAAGGCTTGATTTTTTTTTCAGACAACAAGATTGCGATGAAGAAGTTCTGCAAACTGTGAAATGGGATGAAATATATAATTGTAAGCTCCCACTTGATGTGCTGAAGGTGGTGGTCCATGCAATTGCATGAATTCCAATTATTTCCTTTTCTTTGGCTCCAAAAAGACTTTTGGGATCTTACATTAATCATATCCGTTAAGTGCTTACCGAGCTTAGTCTTTAGATAGAACCATTGAAACATGTTGAGGTCATTAAAAATCAAGGGAAAATGATGCATTTTTGTGGAATTTGTAATGATTCTCGTCTTTGGTAAACTAGAAAGACAAAACATTAAATGGGACCTGTCCTGCCCTATCAGATACGCGTTGAGGTAAGTTTACCGAGTCTTCACTCTTGCTGTGTCACAAATATACAACTAAATTTCCAAGAAATGAAGCCAACCCAATGGTAAAATAATTGTTGTTATTAATTAAGATCTTAAATTCCAGCACAACAAATATTAGGGGTATATAAGTGTTTAATATTAAATGGTTAAAAATTATCATTGAATAAAAATATCAGAGGTGTAAATATTCATTGTCAAATGATTAAAAATTATCTTTAAATAAATATTATATTATATTTAGTCCGAGTTAATAAAAAAATCCGGAAAATGAGATATTCATTGATTAATTCTAAATTTCCAATAATGAATAACATAAAAATATGTCACTCTCAATTAAAAATGTCACTTTAACATTTCAATTATTTTAATGTTATTTTCTTTTAATGACAACGGACGAAATTAATCATAATAAAATAAATTTTATATATATTTGATATTTATCTTGAATTCTATCCTTTGCTGGGCAGAAGCTAAATATTTGCCCAGTATTGGGTCTGAAGACTTTTGCTGAAGTTGACTTGATTTTGAGAGGGCAGAAAATTCCGACCATGCTTTCGATCATCATTCATCGATTTTTTTGTCCCTCGTTCCCTAGCATATGAAGTAAAAGGAAAATGTCTACACTATCACATAAGCCAATTTATAAAAGCAGATGCCTCAAGTTTCAAGCATCCAAAATAGCTTTAAAGATGTCATATTGAGTAGATTTTATATGTAAACTTGGTTTAAATAAACTCGGTCCGACCGCCTAGAACGTATATAATCCTTATATTATCAAACTAAGAAGTTAAGCTCAAACCGTAACAGATTGAAAAATCCGAAAAGAACCGATGCCCCCATCAATATATGCATCAATTTACAACGTCAGAGACTATATGTGAGCATCCTATGAAGGAAAGCATAGGGCACTGCTCAATTCAATTCTAAATTACTGGCTAAGAACTCTATTTAAACTGGCTATGCATATTTATAAATGAAACCCTTCCTAATCCAGTTTCAAAATTTTAATTTTAAAACGTAGTTCACAGTACTGAAACCTTGTGAGATCAATTATGCCGACTTTTGGGGACAGTAAGGAATTTCTCACAATCCTTTACTCCGAGTGTAGTAAATTCTTTCACGAGCATATTTACACATCCTGCAACAGACGCCTTAAACATACTTGAGCAGCTCTTGTCACCTTCATCGACATCTTGAACACCGCCTTTTGCCAGGCAACCTACCTGAGCACCATCCATATATGCTTTACATGCTACAAGAATATCCTGAGCACGGCGGTGGAAATGACCCACAACGAAATCCTCAAAATGCTGCAGCCAATCATGGATTTATTAGAATCTTCAGCAAAAAGAGAATAAATAGGTAATTCATATTATACATTCCAGCTCACATTCAGTACTAAAATGTCCCTATAATCTCGTTGACATAAATGCCCTAATGCAAGTTTAAGCTATTGAAAACATTAAAAAAAATTCTTCGGTTTACCTTTGGCGGCCTCCTCATTGAATATACCATTGTCTTCAGTGACAAAATGAATGTATCCTCGTTGTATTGTCGGGACAATTGTGCACCTTGTTTTGTGCCTTTATGACGAGCCCAACCAGGCTCGTTAAAGTATGGATCCTGATTCAAGATTAGAGCCTGAATAGATACCAGAACTTGGAGCATAGTCGACATACCAGGTATCCACTTCTCATTCTTATTACCAGACCAAGTGTTAAGAAGACTAAGGCATACTTTTCCACAACCATACAAATTTGGATTCAGTCGAAGTCCACCAGAGTGGTAGTAAACATGCTGCAAAGGAATTCCTTCTAATCAGACCAAAAATATGATCATATACGATACAATCAAATTTATAAACAACAATTACATACTGGTGGGGCTTTAGGATAGCTAGCAGGGAAGAAAACATCAAAGAAGAAGAGACCATCATGGTAAGGAGTTCCCTCTGCTCCTATAATCACAGCCCTTAAGAGATCCATCCTTGATTCGTACACCCTTACAAAAATAGTATCTGTTGAAACAGTAAATATTATATTAAGTTAGCAACAATATTATTTATGCATTACATCAGTAAAAGGGAAATCGTCACACGCAAAATGGAAGATCTCAGCTGTTAACATTTAACACAAAACTTAATGTGCACTTTGAGTCATAATTCAAGCTTGCAGTATTCCACTAATAGATGGTATTTATTTAGAAGGGGTGACAAAAGAAAGAACACGTTATGTAAATGAAAACCCCCTCAGGGAAGAATAGAACACTTAAAACTCACCTGGTAAATCCTTCTCAAGAATTCTCCACTCCTCCTGAATCTTCTTTGCCCAGTTCTTTGGTGGCTGCCACAAAGAGAAGTGACAAAAACAAAGTTAACTGGTTGAAAACGTAACAGAACTATAAAATAGGGAAGACCATGATAAATCTTTGAAAGCCACTCACCTGCTTTGTTGAAGATCCACTGGAAGCATAGTGATGGTCCACAAAATCTTCAACGGTATCAAACTGTTTAAAAAGTTGGAACTTACTGAGGATTTCTTCTTCATTTACATTTCTCTGGGTTTTTATATCTTCCACTTCTTGAGGAGTAATGTAATCACCATCTACTGGATCATGAAAACTTGAATAGATTTTATGCTTACTGGGATTATATTTTGGTTTCATTTGGGGCAGCCACCAAGACATGGATGGTTCCGCAACCATAGTGTGATTTAATACCTCTATAGGTGGAGGAACATTTGGAAACATCAAACTACCAGCACCAATTTGCTTCTTTACAGAAGAACTAAAGTGATCCCAGTAAGTTGGATTTACTGCATGAGGGAGCATCAATGGATCAGTGTGGCTCCCATTACTACCGCTAGTTGATCCACCGACCTGGTAAGACTGGAATGAATTCCAAACTGGAAGATTTTGATTACTAAATTTCTGTTGTGAAGTAGCTGACTTCTTACTTTGTGAACCTTGCGAAACTAAAAAGGTTGAAGGAACACCTGCTCCGGGAGAATGACTTATAGGATCCGGTAGGGTCGGGAAACTTGAACTACCAACTGAAGCTGACTTCTTGTTCATATGAGCAGACTCTGACAACCAAGACGAATGAGATTGGTCATTGCTGTTAAGACTTGATTGAGTGTTTGCATGAGAAGTATTCTTTTTACTCTGTGCAAAGTCTGGAAACCAAGGGACGGATGCCTCTACTCCAGCAGGAACATCAAAATTATCAAAATGTGCTTGCAACATGGCATACTCGTCAACATCCATATGATCACCAAGGTAATAGTTCTCAAATAAATCATCATCACAGGCCAAATCACAATCTAGGTTATATACATTGTGTGATCCTTGGGTAGAATTCTTAGAAGGTTCAACCTTGTTTATTAAACCAGTAGGTTTGGCCACAAAATCCTGTAGAGAAATGGGGAAACAGTAAACAAAACAATAATAGGTACAAATGTTATAATTGATTTATGCACAGTCAACAGTAACCATGGCAATAAAAATTCAACCTCTCATATACCTCAGCTTGAATAGCACTATAGACACCGGGGCTAATTTTTACTGCCTTCCCTTTGTTCCTTACATCAACCATCTCATCAAGGATCACTATATCACTTGAATCTTTATCCTTATCGGCGTCAATTATTTCTTGAATCTTTACTCCAGCAGGAATATCAAAATTATCAAAATGTGCTTGCAACATGGCATACTCGTCAACATTCATATGATCACCAAGGTAATAGTTCTCAAATAAATCATCATCACAGGCCAAATCACAATCTAGGTTATATACATTGTGTGATCCTTGGGTAGAATTCTTAGAAGGTTCAACCTTGTTTATTGAACCAGTAGGTTTGGCCACAAAATCCTGTAGAGAAATGGGGAAACAGTAAACAAAAAAATATTAGGTACAAATGTTATAATTGATTTATGCACAATCAACAGTAACCATGGCAATAAAAATTCAACCTCTCATATACCTCAGCTTGAATAGCACTATAGACACCGTGGCTACTTTTTACTGCCTTCCCTTTGTTCCTTACATCAACCATCTCATCAAGGATCACTATATCACTTGAATCTTTATCCTTATCGGCGTCAATTATTTCATGAATAACAACCTAGCAAGACATAAAACAGAAATTTTCTAGTAAACCATAATGAAGATTTTTCTAAAAAGTGGCAAGATTGACTGAGCAACCAGTTAAAACACACAACTTGATGAAGAATGAAAGGCTTCACTAAACATGCGCTTGTCTCTATTTCTATAAAGGAAGCTAGTATGAATGTATGATATACAATATGTTTCTTGGTAGAGTTGGGCACAAGATGCATTTCAAGCATTCTATATAATCTATGGCAATGATCAAATAAAAAATTACTTCCAGGTGTGCTCCCTTCCACACTTCAGTAGAACACAGATCATGTACAATGTCAATGTCATTAAACTGTTCCAAATTTTAGCTATTAACAGACATTTTCAGTTTTAGACAAGAGCAATTACAGATTTTAACACTTATTTAAAAGCTTAGTACTATCTTCTACTAAACATGAAATGAAGCCATTTTTATACCCCACCAACAAACAGCAATTCTCTATTATTTGCATAACATGGCTATAAAACACCACAATCCACACCAAAAGGAAGATCAATATTCAATGCCCCCATTTGAAACTATTAGCAGTTTATCTACCAATAAACGGTACCCAAAAAAGGGTTGGAGTGCATGGATAAACAAGAGTTCAACTGAGAAGAGAACACATGCTCATTAGTCATCATCTACTTTACCGAGCACGACGACTACAAGGGCAAAGTCTGCTTATTTAAAATCCCTGACAGACTGACAGTGTAAAAGAAAGGACCAATTGTCGTCCCAAACTGTCCATTCCGGCCCCATGCAAGCAATGGCACCCTAAAAAATAAGGCGAGGACATCTAAAAGCCACAACTCCCTTCTATTATTATTCCAAAGACCACAGTTCAACACTAACAAAATTTGGTAACTTTAAACTATCATGATGGGAAAAACGCAGTCCCAACTCCCAAGCCCCAATAAGTGAAACCATACGCTTTCGCTGTAGAAATTCAAAGTTAACTGCTTTAAACCCTAAAAAAGAATCAAAACTAAATAATCCCGAAAATCCACAATAAACCGATCATTCAAAATTACATTAACAAAAGTGACATCCAAACGTTCACTGTATTTAATCTAATTCATAACACCAAAAAAATAATTTTTTCAGGAAAATGATCAAAACAAGCGACAAGAACCATTTTTTAAAAGAAAAAGAAGAAAATTTTGACCTGTTTTTTCTTGTTAGACCTCAAAGAGCTAGGAACCGGAGGAGGGATCTCGATCACTTCGGGGTCCATTAAGAAAATGGAATCCGGAGTTGCCAACCGTTTCCTGTTAGGGCAGTGAGAAAGTGAGGAGAGAAAGAACAAGAAGAGTCATCAAAGAAAACTGCAAAAGACGCTCAAACTCTGTTTCTTTTTAATTTAAAAACTACAATAAAAAATAATATTTTAAAAGTACTTGGGATTTCGCGTGCTAAAGAAGTCTCGCCGAGTTGAAGACGGCGGCGGCGGCGACGGTGGCAGCGGCTTCAGAGACGACATTAGAAGAGAGAACAAAAGAGATCGGTTCGTCTGGCTGTATGGCTTCGCGCCGTGACTTGTGAGTAAATTACATATATAATCAGCTCCTTTTATTAAAATTACTATTTTGCCATTATTTGGTTCAAAGGGTTTTCTCCCGCTTACGTGGCAGGAACTTTAACGACTGTAGGAAGTTTCAGTGTAATTGGATGTAGAAGATCAAAGGGCAAAGCTACCCGTGTAAGACAGTGTAAGAGTTGACTGAAACCTTGACTATATTTGCTTTCCAATCGTTCGATAAGGTTTGCCCTGAGTCACCGGCGGATGAGATTCCGACAGGTGTACCTAATTTTGGAGGTACGCGTGTGATCGTGTGGGACTCTCGTAGAAGCGTGGAGACCAAGGCGAAAGATTAGAGGGGGAAATATTGCTGACGTGGAGATGAATAGATAATATAATAATATCTTAGGTAAAAACGTATTTAGTATCTAAAATATCAGTTTTAGTATTTAAATTTTTATTTTTTTTAAATCATATCTAATATTTAATTTTCATTTTATTTTAGTATCTCGTCGTTAAAAACTTAACATGATTATTACCTACAATATTAGATTTGGTCTATTTTAGTACCTAAACTTTCAATTTTTCAAAACTTAACGTTAAATTTTGAATGAGAGTATTAAAATGAATAAAAAAACTAAAACTTTTATCGGTAGGTACTGAAATGAAATAAAAACTAAACTTTAAGTATAACTTTAAAAAATTAAAAGTTTAAGTTCTAAAATAGATTAAAACTAACAGTTTATGTACTAGATACATAATTTACCCTAATATCTTTTCGGCCGAATAAAAATACCTCTCTATGTCCGGGCCGGGTCTTATGTAGCTATAGTCTATCCTTTAATGGTTTATTTACAAGTAAAAATTAAAAAAAAAGAAAATAACCTCAGTGACCAAAAATCCCATATAATATACGATTTTAACCAACTTTTTCCGGATTTGCCAAAATGACCAACAAAATCGCAATGCGATCGCTAATTCGCAACGCGATCTCCATTATCGCAAATCAGTTTCTAGATTCGCAACGCGATTATGACTATCGCAATGCGATTTTCCAATTTCGCATTGCGAAATTGCAATTTTTCCAATTCGCAATGCGAATAAGTAAATCGCAATGCGAATTTGGAAAATCGCAATGCGATACTGACTATCACAATGCAATTTTCCTAATTCGCATTGCGATTTACGTATTCGCGTTGCGATTTTCATAATTCGCAATGCGAATACATAAATCGCAACGCGATTAAGTAAATCGCAATGCGAATTAGGAAAATCGCAATGCGAATTAGGAAAATTGCAATGCGAATACGTAAATCGCAATGCGAATCTTACTATCGCAATGCGATTTACATAGCGCTATTCGTATTAACGCGTATTTTTTTTTCAAATTTCAAACACGAATTTTTTCTTAATATATCGAAAACTGAACCGTCCACAGTAATCGCAACTCATAACCTCAAACCTAAAATCACAACACTCAGTCCCATCTCCATCTCTCACTCTCTACGACGAAATCCGTCCCCATCTCCGAAGATTTCCGTCCCCATCGCCGACGAAATCCCTCACAACCATTCACAGTCAGAAATCCCTCACAATCATTCAGAAATGGAAAATCAACCTCTGAGGGTTAGTTTTTTTTATTTTTATTTTGAAATTTTTGCATTATTTTAGGGTTTTCATATTGAGATTGATGATAAGTTTACTGGTAATTTCAATAATAGATTAACCATTTTACTTAGATTTGTTAATAAATTCATTCGATTGCTGCCAATACTGCTAAACTGTTTAGCCTGTGAAGTTAGTATTTGTCTTTGTTTTATCTTTTGGTTGAAGTAATGCAGAAGAAGAATAGTTTCGAGAATGAAAATCGCAACGCGGAAATAACTATCGCAACGAGAGAATCGCTACGCGAAATGAAAATCGCAACGTGAAACCAAAATCGCGTTGCGATTTTCATTTCGCATTGCGATTCTCTCGTTGCGATAGTCATTTCCGCGTTGCGATTCTCATTATCTCGTTGCGATTTTCATTTCAACCAAAAGACAAAACAGTGTTGCAAATTTTAGTTTCAAGAATAAACTACTATTTATGTTTATTGTTTTTGGTATATCTTCACAGTGTAGTTTTTGGTATATCTAACTTGGTATGTTTATTGTTTTTGTAGAATTTTTTTCGGCTTCATTGACATTAAGGAATAAAGTTAGCCTAGCCACTACAATTGCTTCGAAGCTTTCACCTGCACAAAGAAAATTGTTTGAGGAAACCTGCTTCGGGCCATGGCTGAGAGTACAGCATCCGGGTGGAGATGCTAATTTGACCCATTTGTGGCTTCAGACCATGACTAGCGATCTACCCGATAGTATACAACGTGGTGAGGAAGAGATATGATTTCATTTTCCACCGGCGTATACTTGTTTTGGGCGGAAGGAGTTCTGCTTAATCACTGTTCGGACACGATGATGTAGGCCGGTACACTCGTCATATCACCCGCCCATCATGGTTATCCAGGGTTTTTCCTGACGAGTCAATAGAGAAGCCGAACTTATACGTCGACGAAATGAAGAAATTGTTTAATAAGAAAGATGGTTTTACTCGGATGAATGACGTCGATGTTGTCCGAGTATGCCTTCTACTACTTTTGTATGCCGGCTTTTTAGGCAGAGAGGCCAGACAACCTATTCCTCAGGAGCTAATATTATTGGTAGAGGACCTAAATGCATGGAATTTGTTTCCGTGGGGTTCGTATATATGGAAAGCTACCTGGACTAAGTTGTCGTCTGCCTTTGATGACCGCAAAAGTTTGCGGGGCGATGGGTCAAAATACACTTTGTCAGGCTTTGTTTGGGCCTTTAAGGTAAGAATTTCTATATAATGTTTTCAAAATTATAATTAATTATTTAACAATTACTAATGTTTGTTATTATATTGTTTGTAGATTTGGATATTCGAGGTCTTTCCCGCCATGAAGACATATGCAATAAAAACTTCAAATGATATTCCCAGGGCTATTTCCTGGAAGAGGAAACGTCTGTTGGATTGGGAAGACTTAATACCATATGCGACAATAAATAATGTAAGTTAACACAAATACTATCATATATAAACAAGTTATTAATAGTAGACGTTTAACTTTGTTTGAGTTTTTATATTTTTAGGAGGCTAACATTCCATTAATGAGACTGACACCCACGGAGGCTGAGCTTGCCACTGATTGGTGGCAAGCTAGTCAGCGTTTTCTTGATGGCACGAATGATGAGCAGCCTCCACTTCCTCCACTTCGAGAGCCATCACCTCACCCAGAGCTATCACCTGATCGACCCGACTATACACCTCTACAACGAGAGCCATCACCTATCCCGTCACATCATCGAGCCTCTTTTCCACCATCACCTCATGATAGGCGACCGGCAAAGATGCCATGACTTCTATCTCCCTGTTCTCCACCTCCACGTAGGCCTGTAAACGAACCGAACGCACACGAACGAAGGTATGTTCATGTTCGTTCATTTAAAAAATAAACGAACATAAACGAACACGAACATAAACGAACAAAATTTTTTTTTGTTCATGTTCGTTTATTAAGGAATATAACTTGTTCATGTTCGTTCATTTAATAAATAAACGAACATAAACGAACACGAACATAAACGAACACGAACATAAATGAACACGAACATAAACGTTGGAGACCCTACCTTCCATTGTTCTTTCATGAAAAATAGTCGACAATGCAAATCAACCAAATCTACAGTGATAAATAGCGTAAGAGCTTATTAGCAGTGATGAAATGTTTGAAGATATCAAATATTTCGATCTATCTTTTAAAGATATTAAATGATTCACACGACTTTAATTTAACGTTATAACATTTATCTTAGTGTTCCATGATTACATATGAACAATCATTTTCCGCTATTACACTCTTTTTCAGAAATTGCATAGAAACCTTTGTTTTGTTTTCTGGCAAATTCTATATATTTTTCTTTTTAGTGATGCTCATATACTTCCGATTTTTTACCTTTATCTTCCCATCTATTTCTAGAAAGAAGTATTATGTTTTCTTGAGTTTTAGATGTGAAGATACCCACAATAACTTTACATATCAACTATTAAGTCAAATAAAACAGAGAAAGAGATGAAAACATACATGTAAACTTCATATTGCACTATAATATAACTTGTTTTGAATCTTTCAGAGATCGTCTCCACTCTCCAGTGAACAATAAGGTTTGGGAAAAAAAAGGGGAAAATGAATATAAGTGTGAGGTGCCTCACAGGTTAACATATTGGATTTAATCTCCAAATAAAATTGGGTTAATTATGGAGTTGGTCATCAAAATATCAGATTAATATTTTTAAGATACTTACAAATTGGTCACCAAAATTGATTTAAGAAGATTGTGTTAAACATAAATGAATGAACATAAACGAACATAATCGAACGAACATAAACGAACATAACCAAACGAACATAACCGAACGTTCACGAACGTAAATGAACGAACGAGACCTATGTTCATGTTTGTTCATTTAATTAAACGAACAAAAAATCTTGTTCATGTTCGTTCATTTAATAAATAAACGCACATAAACGAACTTCCCGCCGCACGGTTCATGAACGGTTCGTTGAACGTTCAGTTCATTTACAGGCCTACCTCCACGGGATGAGTCAAGGGAGTTACGTGATTAGGTCAATGCCTTGCGTGAGGAGATCGGTACTCTACGCGATAACGATGGTGCATGGCGTGTGGAGGTGTCTACTTTACGTGGTGAGGTTGCCGCTCTACGTGAGATGGTAGTATCGTTGCAGAATGAGGTTCATACTCTACGCAACGAGGTAAGTTTAAGATTTTCCATATTTAACTTGATGATAAATTTACTCGTAATTTCACTTAAATTAATCATTTCACTTAGATTGCTTAGTAAATTTATTCGGTTGCTGCCAATACTGCTAAACTGTTTATTAACACTGTGAAGTTAGTATTTG